TACCTCGAGCGCCAGGGTCTGCAGGCCATGCACGACCACGGCCTCAAGAAGCTGGTGCCGCCCAAGCGAAAGGCCTCGCGCGGCAAGAAGCGCAACAAGGGCCCCAAGGACAACGATCACCTGAAGGACGTGCTGGAAGTGTACGACGAGAGCTGAGGGCGCCGAGGGCGGCCGGGACGGTAGCGCTGTGACGGGGCTGCGAAGCGGCGGGGGAGGGCAGGATCGTTGCCCAGTGCGTGTGTTTGCCAGAGGTCGCAGGCGACGTCACTGGAGTCCGCCGCACGCCGCGTTGAGCGACATTGGCGGCGATGTAATCGTGTACGTTAAGTGTGCGCTGTGAATTGAGATGGGCGCGAGCCGTGGTCGGTGCCTCGAGCCGTGCCTGAGGTCACAGCGGGTGCGGCAGCGACGGCCGGCGGCTCGGGCACTGTGGACAACGCCGCGGTGGCATGCGGTGACCCAATCGTGGTACAAGCGGGCGCCTCACACTCAAACTGATCTATTTGTCACAGCGTCTTCGTCAACAGTCAATGATGAAGCGCAAGTGCCCTAACTAGATGACCGTACTGTGTCAATACATTGGACACTCATGTTTGTGACAACTGTGTAAGATGCCTTATACCGCGCGAGGCTGAACACAACCGCGACGCCCCAGTCAGCGGCGGCGGTCACCCGCCGGACATTGTACTGTTTCCTGGCAATCAATCCAGAGGTAGTCCCCCCCCCCCCTCAACAGCGGTACTACGGCGGTGGTGTGGCGCTACGTCTCGCGTGCGCTCCGCCGAGTGCGGCCGCGGCCGGCGGCCAGCGCCGGCGGCGGCGGCGGCTTGGCCTGCCTCGCCCGTGCTCGTCGGGACGACCCGTCGCGCTGCGCCGACACCTTATCCCGGGTGGTGCGCTTCGAGCCGGCCGAGCCGTCCCGGCCGCCGCCGTCCAGCGGCTCGCCGCTCTCCCCTGGTGGCACGGTCAGTGGCCCTGGCCGGCCGCCGCCAGGACCTCTCCGCCGAGCGTGGCCAGGTCTGGTGTCGCGCGCTCCTCTCCGTCGGACGCGGCCGGGTCCGGCGTCGTGCGGTCCAGCGCGGCGTCCGGCGTGACGGGCAGGCCGTAGACGACGGGCGCGGCGGCCATGAAGGTGGAGCTGACCGTAGCCGCGGCGCCGGCGGACCACGTGCCTCGGGGCAAGGCTCGGGGTTGTCGGCCGGCGCCTGGAGCGGGCAGCCGCGCGTCACGCGGGAGTACGTAGAGTGGGCCGTGCTCAGTGCCGTCGCCGCCGTCCCGGGCCGCACCGCAGCACCGTGCCCACCGTCCCCCAAGGGGACGGCGCGGACGTGTAAAACGAGCGCTCGGACGAGGTGGTGGCTGGGTGGGTGCCACGCAAGAAGTTCCCATGAGGGGACGCTATGTCCACTGATCTGGCCGTGCACGCGTTGTACCGGCCGACAGGCGAAACATGCTCAGTGAATAACAGGCACAGCACACCGCCACTTACGGACAGCCGGCGGGCCCACAAAGGTACATTACGCTAAACAAACGCCTTTCGCAAGCGCGCATTTCCTAGCCACGCGAGCCGTCTGCCACCCTATCTTCAGTACATCAGTGGTGCCGTGCGAGCGCGTAAGAGACCTCCCATCGGGCGAGATTGAGCTCACCTGTCCACTTGTCGATAACTGCTTTGGAGTAGGTGTCGAGCATGTTGTCCGTGACAGACCACAGGTTACCTAGAATCGCCGGGCTGGGCGAGCGTACAGGCAGAGCGTCAAACACGTCCGCCGGAACATAGCCCCACTGCAGAGGCTCGTAGTCCGGCGCGGGGAGCGCGGCGGCCAGAGACCTAGTCTAAGTTGAAAGGTGCCCAGCTGCGCCTTCGCATAGCGGCGTTGTCTGCCTCGACGGCTAAGAGTTGCGACGAAAACAACTTGAGCAATTGCCCCCACCCCAAAAATGATCCAGCTGGTTTGTGCTTTGAGCCTAAAAATTTGCATCAAAATGTCTTGATACCGTCTGCCCACCAAACAATGCATCAGAAGCCATACAACGCAACTGACGACGGAGGCTTGAGGGAGGCTGCGAGGAAGCCTCGAGAAAAACCCGAGGGAGGCTGCGAGATGGGCTCGAGGGAGCCTGCAAGGGAGGCTCGAGGCAGGCTTCGAGGCAGGCTGTGAGGAAGGCTCGAGGGAGGCTGCAAGAGGCTCGAGGGAAGCTGCAAGGGAGGCTCGAGGGAAGGCTGCAAGGGGGCTCGAGGGGGGCTCGAGGGGGGCTCGAGGGAGGCTCGAGGGAGGCTGCAAGGGGGGTTCGAGGGAGGCTCGAGGGAGGCTGCAAGGGAGGCTTGAGGGAGGCTGCAAGTGAGGCTCGAGGGAGGCTCGAAGGAGGTTCGAGGGAGGCTCGAGGGAGGCCGCAAAGGAGGCTCGAGGGAGACCCGAGAGAGGCCGCAAAGGGAGCTCGAAGGAGGCTGCAAGAGAGGCTCAAAGGAGGCTCGAGGGAGGCCGCAAGGGAGGCTCGAGGGAGGTTGCCAGGAAGGTTCTAGCACATACAGCTTCTCGAGACAAACATCCCGATGGTGGCCTGTTAGCTCCTGCGATAGCAGTACCCGGCCGCAATCTCCCAGCCTCACAGAGTCCCCAACTTTAGTACAGCTAACAAGACAGCTATCATTTGGGGCAATAGTGGAACCCATTGGCCTTTCAGAGCGGCGAGTTTTCAAGGATTTTTTCGGAGGGCGGATATTTTTGTGATAATTTCAATATCGCCGGACATGAAGCCACGCCATTAACACGGACATGACAACACGTGTGCGTATTCCTAAACATGTGCATGCATTCCACTTTCGATTGAATATTTCATGCCAACGGAAGCAAAGTGCCGCATATACGACGTGGCACAGATAATGAAGGCGACTCCACCCATTCTCATCGTTGAAACGCCTAGTATGCTCGCTGGGGGAACGAGGCGGGCGGCTGTTAAGCTATAAACCGGAGTTTCAATTCTACAATTTCATAAAAGATTGAAGCAGGTACTTCGGCTACCGGCACTGCCCACCCGACGGAGGAGATTTGTGAGGGAGATGCCAGTAGACAGCCAGCGAAACGAAAAACGAAACTTACACACCATCTGAACGGTGTCCGCTCTGCGACATAATGCGCCATGCCACAGAACACGACAGCCATTTGTGAACTGGGAGTAAACAGCACAGGGCGTCGCGTACCAGGTGTAATCATGTCGAGTTGGCTTTTTTGGATGCATCGAATACAGTAGGTCATGCAACGCTCATAACGATCATTTTATACACAGCCGTAAATCAAGCAGTGTGATTTAAACAAGACACCCCATCAACTCTTGCTGATCAGGCATGGCAGTGTGCCATGAGTGATGCCAGTTTTGTTCAAGTAGCACAAAATAGTAGTTCATACACTGGTTTAACGAGTGGGGGCTAGCCAAAAGCATACATCTAACTATCCCAGAACGAGCAGAAAATGATGTTCTTAAATCGCAGCTGTTAAGTCCAAACAAGCCCCAAACAAGTCTCAAATATCTGTGATGTCGCCAACTTCGAGCTTTGCCCTGGGTCGCATCCCTAAGAACAATAAGTGGTACTTGCCTCCCGTCCAGCGCACGAACCAACGCTAGAACCAACTCAGCAGAATAAATACGGCGTAAAGAGAGCTGCAACCCAAAACGGATGTCACATAAATGAAAACATGCCGCTGCTTTCTCCGTATTCAGTCTGAAGAAAATTCATGGTTAAGACCAAGGTCGAGGAAAAAAACGAAGGCTTCACGAAAGAAGGCCCAGCCCCCGTCCTTCATCGACGGATCAGCGGCCTGCTCGGCGCGCGCGCGCTCTCCACCCACCAATTGGCCATGAGGTAGGCGTAGACGGCGCCGTAGGGGTCGACGGTGGGTCCGGGCTGCACCAGCTGCCCGCTGCTACAGCCGAACAGCAGCGCCACGGCGTTGCACGTGAGCGAGCGCAGCTTCTCGGCCGGCAGGTACTGGCTGCCGCAGCCGTGGCCGCAGTACCTGCCGCGCGCAGGGATCGATGACGTCACGGCAGCCGGGTCAGGCCTCGGTCAACAAGAGTCCTGTGGTCAGCACCGGGAGTTGTGCATGCAGTTGCTGAGACACCGGCGTAACACGAACCAATGGTGCCTTGGCAGTGTACAAACAACACTGATCACCAGCGTTACCATGGTACATACGACACCGAGCAGACTGCGCGCAGTACGATGCCTCAACACCATCCACATGGCGGGCCAGTCATCTCAGCAGTGTTGCACGTGGCGGATACGAACAGACGCCCGCACACACGCATCAACCCGTACGGAACAGCGCGGCCGCTTGGGCAGAAACTCGTACCCCGCCCGAAAGAGGAAATCAAAAGACATCACGAGCTCCTCTCGCCACTCCACCCCACAAGAACCGCTACCTCGCCGCGAATAGGCGACCGGCCGGGGCGGCGGGTCCGTCCCCTCCCCCCGGCCCACTCACGCTAAGATCTGGCCGTCGGTCAGTGCCGCGGCGAACTCCTTAAGCGTCGGCGGCCGGCCCACGATACCGCTCCAGCCGCGCTCCGCCAGGAACGGGCCCATGCGCTGCTCCGTGTTGACCAGGTCGCCGGCCGGGTTGATAATGTAGGTGGCGCCACCGGGCGGCCGCGGCAGCTGGGCGCGCCGGCCGGCGAGGCACAGGCCCAGGATGGCCAGTGACGGTAGCCGACAGGCGGGCCCGCGGGCCAGCTGGCCCACCATCTCCCACGGGTAGCGCTGCACCTCGCGGTCCAGCACCAGGATCACCTGGCCGCGGCGAGGGGCGGTGAGCGAGGCCGCGCGCAGCGCCGGCCGCCGCGCCGCCAGCGCCTCGGTGACGGCGCGCCGCTGCTGCTGCGCTGCCGCCGGGCCCAGCGCCTCGGCCACGCGCTCGGCCAGCTCCTCTGACGTGGCCGGTGGCCGGCCGCAGATGAGTGCCAGCCGCGCGCGCTGCGGCGCCGTCAGCGAGGCGGGCAGCGCCGCCAGCGCCGCCTCCAGCGCCGCCCGCTGTCGGGGGCAGACGGGCTCGCCCGACACCAGGTACGCCTGGCGGCCCAACCAGGCCACCTCCATGCTGCGCACGATCGCCTGCAACGCGCACGCTAGTGTCACGTGGGCGCTGGCGTCGCGACGCGTCACGCGCTGGTGGTCGGATATCACCCACGACGGTATGAAGACCCTATGTTGTTATGGGCTGTTACGATATTGCGTTGTGCTTGAGATGGTGTTGAGCACGCCTCGCAACAGCTGGAGATATTTCGGTTGGTGGTCTGGGCGTTCGGAACTCACGCTCATTCGCACGGCATGTGCAGCACCCTGAGATGCCACGTATTTCTGCAAATTCGTAACGGTGAAAGTTAAGTCAGCAGCACCGAGTGTTTGTCCAACCAGCCATCTTACTCCGCTGTTTCCTGGACCAGCACAAGTGCTGCTGCATGGTCCGGAGACAAACCGCGCCGCCTCCAGACGGGTCGGTTATGTAGGTCAGGTCAGCCTGAGGCAATCTGCGCTCATGCATCGCCATCGTTCTCAACACTACTACCGTCATCACCTTCATGCGGTCGTCGAGCAGGCCGCGCTGCGTCCAGTACTTCTGGCGATCGTTGAAGAGGCTGCGCTGGATGGAGGCGTTGTCGGCCAGAATCGCCTCGAACTCGGAGCGGAACGTGCTGCAGTGGTCGGCGGCCGGCGCCGGCACACGCGCCAGAAGCAGCGAGTCGGGCCGGCCGCCGACGAAGCGCGCCACCACCAGCTCGGGCGTATCCAGGCGCGCCACCCGCGTGCGCGCGCGCGGCACCGCCGTCAGCTGAACCACGGTCCAATCTGGTCGGCGGGACAGGTCATGTCAGAGCAGTACGCGGTGTTGGGGCGGTGGCCGGTCTGGCGGGCGGGGAAGGCATTCACGAGACCACTGGCGATCGCACGCAGGCGCTGAGGCGGCACACCGTCTGGGAACAGGGGATGGATTGAGCACGGGCGTGTCGTGTCCGCTGCACACGCATATTGCACGGCCGTGTCGTGTCGGCTGAGCACACACAGTGCACAGTCGTGTCGTGTCGACTGCACACGCACAATGCATGGTCGTGTCGTGTCGACTGAACACACAAAGTGCACAGTCGAGTCGTGTTCGCTTAACATCCAGAACACACATACTGCACAGCCGTGCCGTGTCGACTACATGCACATTGTGCACAATCGTGTCGTGTAGGCTGAACACGCACATTGCACCGTCGTGTCGCATCAGCTGCACACACACATAGTGCACAGTCGTGTCGTGTCGGCCGAACACGCATATTGCACGGTCGTGTCGTGTCAGCTGCACACACATATTGCGCGGTCGTCTCGTGTCGACTACACACACATAGTGTACGGTCGTGTCGTGTCGGCTGCACACACACAGTCGCGCACTGTTAAACCATCGCATAACCTGCAGCACAAAACGAGTAGCTCTCAGACAGACAGACATACTCTGCGATTGTAGTGCAGATGCTGGTGGCACGTCACAGACTGTGTTGCAGACCTAGCTCAGCCAATTACACGACGGCCCCTGCGTTACAAACTCCAGCGCCACCATCGCACGTAGCCGACACCGCATGGCCACCACTCACACCGCATATACCGGGCGGCACCTGCGCGCCGCCAACACCCGCACCCGAACCCCGGCCGCGCCTGGTCGGCGGCCACGGCACACATACCGGGCGGCACCTGGCTGATGAGCTCGAGCATCTCCTCCCGGCGGCGCGGCGACGGCCGGTACTGCAGCAGGCGGCGGCGCGCGTCCAGCAGCGCCTCCTGCGTGCCGGCCGGCCAGTCCTCCACCCGCCGGCCCGACTTCATCTCCATTCTGGCGGCGACGGCGCCGACGGTCAGCGGCGTTCGTGGCGCCCGGGACGGGCCGACTGGGGCGAGCGGTGCACCACGGGCGCCGGCGGTCAGCGGCGTTCGTGGTGCCCGGGCCGGGCCGACTGGGGCGAGCGGCGCACCACGGGCGCCGGTGGTCAGAGGGTAACACGAGGCTTACAGCGCAAGCACGTTGGAAGTGCACTCGGACGGGCTGGGACGTGCTGTCGCCGCCGGTCACAGCACAAGGGCATAAACACAAAGAAAAACAACACAAAACAGGCAAAACGCAAGAAAGCATCAGGAACGCTCTAAACACGCGTCCTTTTGCGGCTCGTCCCCCAACGGCACCGAGGACACCGCATCTCATGCCTCGGCAATGGGATGCTTTCACTGCGCTGGTATTGGGATAAGTGTTGAAAATGCGGGGTTGGTGCTCTCAGAAGCGCCCTTAATGACGCATATCATTATAACTCAGAAGCAGACACGTTACAGAGAATGGCACGATGTAATTGATAATTGCATGGTACTTGGGCAAGAGCGCTGCAGCATACAGTTATCGGTTTATCCTATCGTAGACACATGCCTGTCTCAAAAGCGAGGAAGCACATTACGGTCCGAAAGGAAACAAAACACTATTCCCGGACCAGGCAACGGAAACATCATTCCAGCTCTACGTGATGCCAAGGAAATGACACGCCCAGTGTCGCTATGGGTGCATTTAAATCAGCCGCCGTCGCGAGCCGGGGCAGCGCGGCCTGCGCCAGGGCGCCACCACGCACTGAGCCAGTCGGCAGGAGCTCTTCAGGATCATGTAGTGGCGCAGCGTGGTGGAGTGGCACTCGGCCAGGCAGTGGAGCGCCTCCAGAGGCTGACCGGCCGACATTGCCTGCAGGCCACGCTGCACACTCAGACCTGGCGGCGGACGCGACGCCGGTTACAAAGCGTACTGACGCGCGCCCGCCAGCACCGCCCACCCCGCTGCAGGCCCGCACGCGGCCGCGTCAACGACGACGCCCTCGAACGCGGACCATCGGCGCCACGTCCGTCCCGCCGATGGTCCGCCGGCGAGGATCACGTCACGCCGGATCACGTCACGCCGCGTCCGTCCCGCTGATGGTCCGCCAGCGAGGATCACGTCACGCCGCGTCCGTCCCGCCGATGGTCCGCCAGCGAGGATCACAACGTCACGCCGGATCACATTACGCCGCGTCCGCCCCGCCGATGGTCCGCCAGCGAGGATCACGTCACGCCGCGTCCGTCCCGCCAATGGTCCGCCAGCGAGGATCACAACGTCACGCCGGACCACATTACGCCGCGTCCGTCCCGCCGATGGTCGGCCAGCGAGGATCACGTCACGCCGCGTCCGTCCCGCCGATGGTCCGCCAGCGAGGATCACGTCACGCCGCGTCCGTCCCGCAGATGGTCCGCCAGCGAGGATCACGTCACGCCGCGTCCGTCCCGCAGATAGTCCGCCGGCGAGGATCACATCACGCCGCGTCCGTCCCGCAGATGGTCCGCCAGCGAGGATCACGTCACGCCGCGTCCGTCCCGCAGATGGTCCGCCAGCGAGGATCACGTCACGCCGCGTCCGTCCCGCAGATAGTCCGCCGGCGAGGATCACATCACGCCGCGTCCGTCCCGCAGATGGTCCGCCAGCGAGGATCACGTCACGCCGCGTCCGTCCCGCAGATGGTCCGCCAGCGAGGATCACGTCACGCCGCGTCCGTCCCGAACACTACGTGCCGTCTGAGCGCTCACCATTCTGCGACGGTCCGCAGGAGAGGCCCTGGCCCTGGGTGCGCTCCAGCAGCCGGTGGAGAGCGTCGGCGCTGGGCTCGGCGTCCAGCAGGTCGGCGACCGAGTCCTCCTGCAGCCGCAGGCCGTCCACGCCGCGCGCCAGCTCGTCCATGGCTGCCCCTGCCGGGCGCGGGCCGAGTCATGGTGCGGACAGGCGGCTGGAGGTCGCACCACGCAGAACCAATGCCTGCTGGAGCAGTCGGCTTATTGTGAGGATGACCCATGTCAAAATGACTTCTTGTTGGTTGTTTGGATTAGAGCCCCTTCGACCACATCTGATCATTTCAGGGCAATGTGATGAAGGAAAATGGTTACTGGTGGGGCAGGCTTGCATGCGCCTGGGGGACCAACCACCGAGCTTTAACCCGCGCATGTGCGCTGGGTACTCGGTCCGGGTCCCCCTACCCACGGGGCCCTCGGCTCACTCGTGGCTGACGAGTGCAACTTGCCCCGGACAAGTGGGGTGTCGCGAGGATGCAGGATGAAGCGAGATAGAGGATAAGAGGGTCGGATGTTGACGACCTGTTAATTTACTTGGAAGAGTACAGCAGAAGGTGGCTGTGCCGTGCGACTAGTCTGGGCACAGGCGCATCCGGGAGTATGGACATTAACTAGTAGGTACCAGGGAGACCAGAATGGCAGCTTCTCTTACTACAGCTGGCAGCAGACAGGGATTCAAGTGCACTTGTGACCAACTGAGCCCTACATTGACATAAAAATACGACACAGGAGTACAAATCACACGATTTTTAGCAAACCAAATCAAACATCATGAGCATTTGATGAAAAGGTCGCTTTTCATGGCAAATACATAACAACCGCAGGCCAGAAATGCTTTCAGTTCCTATGTTACCACGCAACAAATTATCTGGATGGAACTCTATTCCTACAGTTCTTCAAAGATTTAATCTGAACCTTCCAAATGGATGGATTTTTGGGATCAGAGCTCACGCTAAGCAGAGCTTCTTGTGTGAGCCCTGACCCCTACCATCAGATCGTGCAATTAAATTGTTAACATCAGAATTTGATGGCAGAAAGTTGAACATGCTACAGTGCTCACCACAGTCTGTCCTGCCCTCTAACGTCAGCTGACCTTTAGCGCGACCGCTGTCACCGGCCGCAAGCCATACCTGTCAAGCCTAAAGATGGAGCGCCTTCGCCTCGAACCTACCTCAGCAGGCGGGTGGCCGGGGCAGGCGCTCCAGCCAACAACGGAGCCATCAGCAACGACCGGCTCATGAATTGTGTGTGTATCTTTGGAGTGTAACCATGACATTGTTTGAAAGAATAAATGTATACAGCATAAAATATTATGGAAATGTAGATCATCAACTCAAGAAGATTGTTGATTCCCAGGATAAATCTCCTAAAATGTCTAAATTGAAGCTATATGGTACGCAGCATGACACAATGACCAGTGACAGGAGATACCTTCTTTGATCATGTACCAGGCATACAGATAATCTTTCAGATTATGTTTGCTTGTCATATGCCCTAACCTCATTCACATACATTTTAGCAAATACTTATTCACTGATATGAAACAAAGCATGTCAAAATAAGAAATAAAGTTAAAATGCTTTCATTACAATGTTTGAAATGGTATGCTTTAACAAATACTGACTAACCCATGCTCACATAAGAGAACTGCTTTAAGTCCTACCATAGCCTCACTTTTGGCCACTTACAGGCAATGCTCACTGCTGTTGATGCAGTCACTCAGAGGGTGAACTGCCAGAAACATTGTGTGTCCACTTTCAAATACAACCAAAAGATGAAAGTATTATTTGAATCACAATACATCATGATGATGATAAGGATGATAACAATGTTAGGATAATAGCATTACCATGGAATTATCTTTGATTTCTTAATTTTTGTCCTTGACAGTTTGGTTGCTATATCACGGGACTCACGACTGGATGGCCTGGTTTGAATCAATTCTGAGGAGAAAACCTGGGCTTTATATACAAATAAGTACATCGCTGAAAGTCAAACATCAGCCATCCCTTCAAGACTCCAGTACACCCGATGGCATCTGGGGGTGAACTGGCTGACATGGTGATTATATACTGACATAAAAGACAAGGGGCATAGTCCAAAAATTATTACCCAACTTTTACGCCTAACATTTTTCTGATTCCATGTACCTATTGCAAGACATGAATGTTTTTCATGCACCGCGAACTGATCTGAGTCGCATCTGGCTCAGATGCGATTAGCGGTAAACGACGTTTGACGTACACCCCGCGGCACCCAACCACATAGTGCCTCGCGTGATCTGCACAGCTTGGCATAAGGAACTAGCACCTACGCACCTACCACCTGCAGCCCTAATATCACGTATCCAGGGCTACAGAATATTCTGTCACGTACCCACCTACCACCAAGTTGTTCAAAAGCCCGGTTAAAATCCCGCTGCTCAGGCGACTTGCTCGAAAAACATGCGCCATTAATGCAAATTTAAAGAACAGCAATTCATTAATTTACTGCAAACCTTACAGTGAGCTTCAAAACCGTTATCACTAAAACTGATTCATCTTAAGTCTTCTCCACTCTCTACAAAATATGTCACCTTCTCCTTATCTCTTAAAATAATGACCTCAAAATGCTGTGTAATTTCCTAAGCTATCTGAATGTCGTTGCCAGAATGAGGTCAACAATATGCTTTCGCAAATGATTGGCTTTCTCAAACACCTCTTGTCGACTTGCACCCTCACCGCATTTCGCTTTTCCTCAAGTTAATACAGCATGCAGGACGTTTTTATTCGGTATGAATGCCTTCGGTTTTTGTTATTTATGACTTTTTAGGACATGTTAAAACACACACAAGGTAGCGTTAGATTTACATTAGAGGCAGAGTTCTGCCTCCACTTAATGCAACACTGCGCTAAAAATTGCGCTAACGCTTATGCATAAGAAAAAATTGAGCTTGAACAAAAAGTGCAAGTTCTGTCGCACCATTGAGCTTAAATGTGACACCATCGCTCGACTTTGGTCTAGACCGATCAGTCGAGCCGAAAGTACATGTTTTGGCCATGCCAAGGGTTCCGTCCTGTTGCGGCGATAAACACTGAACTATCGTCCATTTCATTTGCTGTGTACAATGTGTCTACCTGTGTGATGTTAAACGTGCGATTATGCGCATGCACGGGTTCCATATATTCAGCTCCCATTCCTTACGCCGGCCAACACTAGCCAGTCTAATTTAAGGCTGCACCGCAATTACCGGTAACTGACTAATGTCCTAACATTCATTCAATTTCAGAAGATCGCTTGAAGTGAAAAGAGGTTTTTCATTGGCCTGTCCAAAAAGTGTCCGTGTGGATAGACGAGTCGCCCATAAGTTATGTTACGCACGGAGCCGAGGGAGAGAGGTGATGGAGGAACAAGGGGAGGCAAGCGCGACATTACGCTCAATTACAGTTGCGGATCATGCTCAGATCTAAAAGCAGAAAACATACAGCCACATGCCATTGGGTTCCCCGTGTGACGACAGCCAAGCCCGTTCCAAGCCAGCACCGACATATGGTAACCACACTGGGCTCACAAGGGAAGCCCACTTATTTCCACATGGGAACCTATGGGCGATCATATGGTGCCCGTATGGGGCTCGCCACGGTTTGCACATGGGTAACACAAAGGCTCGTCCGTCTCTAAAATCCATGGTGCCCACATGAGAACCATATATTACCATACCAATTTCAATAATTTTTTAGTCAAAATTATCCTGTTAACGCTTTGCAGCCGTACTATGCTTTTTACCTGCAGTCGCGACTACCGTCGTAACGACAACCACCGTGCGTACCTCCACTGGTGCAAAGAAAAGAACGTGTGTGATGGCTCCAGCGGGCAGGGGCATGTTACCAAGCAGCGCACTGGTTGAGGTTTGAACTAGTGCGTCGCATGCATCATGTGGTGCTCCCATTCCCAAAGACATAGTGCGCTTCGAAAAGAGCCATTGTGGTGAACGCGACCGTTTTAGGCGAGAAATCAGTCATGGTGTAACGTTTCGCTGAATTCGCATGATGATGGCTTCATGTTCGCATATCTTTTTGTCTAAAGCTACTGTGTCAAGCTTTTGTAGCGTTTATTACACAAACATTTTGATGAATTAGTGGGCTGTAAACATTACTGAGCACACGATTCGAGGAGCGAGGTAAGTGAAATGGTTTTTTCAAAGTGGTGCGAGGGAGTCAGTGGCAATTTTTCCTCAGGGTCGGCTGCTACGAATCAAAATACTGAGCTAATCAGGTTTTCGAGACAGCTGGTATCACAAATGAAATCGTACGTGTCTGATGAAACAATAAGTGAAAAGTGTACAAAAAAGGCGGGGTAATCCCTTTGACCACCTTTGGAGCACATGGACACCATATAAAGTGCTGCCAATTGTGGGCTTATCTTGGTTAACGGACGATCCCCGTCTGCAGAGCGCTCCGTACCTTCGAGGAGAAGTAGAGCAGCCCTCTGGCATACCACGTATGACCGATGCGTTCTGTGTGCATCGAATATTGAATGGCCGCGCGACGTACCTGTGGCCACGATACCGCCGAGGCGATATTTGCAGCTTCTGGACGCGAGTCGCGCATCTAAGTATCAGCAGCGGGCAACAACGCACAAAATGAAGAGAAAGCTTTATTGCTTGTTGGTAAGTGCATGATTACAACAGATCAGCCCGTTCGGGTTCGCTTTTCGCCAGTTCTCAGCCACATGCCGGAGAAGAGGTAATTTGGTTTAAGATGTGCCTGGTTTGTGTGCAAATTATGACCGTGTTTACAAGTTATGCACCTTGGAAAATACAGAATCGCGCATTTCAACTAGCTGCAGCTAGACACGGAACACATGTTGCACTTGTTTACTGACACACACGCTGTAATCGGGACCTTAGGGCCCTTATCAGTGTAATCGCAGACCCACCACGCCAGGCACCGCAGCAGCCCTTTTCTTGCGGCAACGGACAATTCTGTCACGACTATTGATAGACCATTTTCCGACTATCTTGACTCCGCCACTCCAGGAAGCACCGATCGCCACATTGCGTTTGACTGTGCCTGGGAAAAATGACGTGTCTAAGTAACAGCATCATAGACGAGGTAAACGGCTGGCATCCTGCGGGATGAGCGAAACTTGTAGGCCATTATTAGAGGCGCGGACAATTCATGCCTTGGAATCCCGAAACTGATGACATCCTGCAAGGAGGTCATCGGCAAACCAATTAATCAGAATATGTCACATTTAGAAGTCTGTTATTACTGGAGAGACAACTATCTCGTTACCGACATTGTTTTCTGTACCGCTCCGCCGTCTGTTCAGCCTTCTCCGCAGTCTTGCGCTGTAGGCGGTTGGACACCCAGCCGGCTTTCTTGTTGAGACAGATAGCTCAGGGAAGCGAAAGGGAAGTCAAGTGAAAGCCATTCGAAAATAGATGGTGCAATACATTCTTTACACACCGACAAGCAGTCGCGCTGATCTATGGACATACAGCAAAGCAGCCAACCAATCAGTTTGCGATGGGTCATGTAAGGCAGTGGCCGCCGACGGCGAACGGGCGCAGGGTTCGGATGAGGGATACCCGAGGAAAGGGCATTCATTCTGTGGCTTGGTTTTTACAGGAGAAACTCGGGTTTTATGGCTTTTTCACACAGCTTTGTCAATAAGTTTTTTAAACTTTTGGATCCGTTTCCGCCTAAAATGCTGCGACAAGCCTTCCTCTTGGATTGCACTCGGTGAAACCTAGACGCACAAACACCCTTGGGCACTATGAGCTTTTGGCTCGCATTCAAAATTCTGACCAGCCTGTCCCCGGGTCGTATTTTGGCATCTACCCCGTGGAGGCAAGTGCCTCCCCAATGACCAAAGATGCCTACCCGCGTATGGAATTTCTGCTTCCCTGGAGATGTAAACGAATAACTATCTTAAGAATCTGGATAGTCCTATTTGTCAAATCGCATAGATGAGTCATCAGGACAAGAGTGTGCACTATTGGGAAACAGTTATAGATGTACGCCTAGCATAGCAACCGTGATACTTAATTGTTGCCAAAATGTGTTACGTCCATTAAGAGCGAACAATGCTCTCCACCTCTCCTCCCCCCCCCCCCCCGCCGGCCACCAGGCTTGCTTACCGGTAAAAGTTCCAAGTATACGCTGCGCCTGCCCCTGCTCCACTTTTTGAAACGTTCCTGCGCAGATGCCATATGGGACCCCTTCTGACCTGTAGAGGACCAATGATTTACATTAGGGCCCATTCCGGTTTGTGGGAAACCCGCTATCCAGTCTTAGGGGCCCATTTTGGCATTTTGGAGCTTGTCCCCGCCCCAACTTGCATATAGCTCCCGCGCCCCTGCGTCACGTTTTCTCGGACCATCGACCTTTCGGTCCTCAACCAGGTGCTTCACCAGCGGGTATGGAAGTACCGGTGTTAGCCAGATATTGGGCTGCTGATGTGCGCCAGCCCTGTCGTAGTTGGTGTTTTCCGCGACTTCGAGCCAGTCAGCGTCCTTTTTTTTGGGGCGTTTTTTTACCGCCTGTTGTTAAATTTTCGTGTTCCCTGGCGTCTTTGCTTGATTTCGAGTATTGGCTCACTTTTCCGTAGGCATTATATATATATATATATATATATATATATATATATATATACATATATATGCATATATGTACGTATTTATATACATATATGTGTATCTATGCACGCATCAGAAAATATTTGTGTGTGGCGTCACCGGGAGGCCGGTGTGACGCCGTCTCGGGGTCACACCTGTAGCGTCGGGGCGGCCGTACGCGTGTTAAGATAGAGACATGAGTGATCACGTGTAGTACAAGCGCTTTGGGGTGGAATTATCAGTAAGATCAAGGCGGGTATGAATAAATGAGCACACTTTGCAGTAATATCAGGAAGCAAGTCATTCCAGGACGGTCCGCCGCGTCTTAAGGCAAAGAAGCGCTCGGCGTAAGGAATCAGTGATGATTTCGGAAGCACCAGGTGGACAAAAAACTTTACATCGGTGTAACCAATTTTGTTCTGTACACCACAGCTGCCGTCATCCGGTGAAGCTACCACAGGTGAATCCATCGAACATCCAGGCCCCAGTTGGCATTGACATGGGACCAGATTACATGAGCAGGTCACCCGACCCGACAAAACTTTCAGATGTCAGCAAAGCCTGGGACCATTTCCCGCAGCCAGTGCGCCCGCATCTCACCTTCCTGGCTGAGATATGTTTGAGAATCGGTCGGGTCTAACAGCACAAGGAACTATGGTGCCCCATCTGCACGGCCTGGACCTGGCCCGACACATTTGCGCGGCTCCATCTAGCGGGAACAGCCACGTCAATGCGCACTAGGGCCAGAGCTGGGCCCTGAAGGCTGTTAGTTTCATGATGCAAAGGGTGCCGCTGGTTTACTCCACCTTTGGCCAGCAAATGCCGGATAAGGTTTACTCGAGCCTGAAACCAGATGCAGTCTGAAAGCGCAGCACATTCCACGTTTATTAACTGTTTCCGTTCGTTCTTGCTGAATGTAAGGCTCAGTAAACGTTCTTACTGAGCTTTTGTCGCTTTTCAGAACGCTGGCCACGGGCGCCGCCCAACCCGAGGTCTTCACCAGTCGTAGAATGCCCTGCTCGACTTGTTTATCCAGTTACACATTTACGAGCGACAGCAGAGCCAGGGGCATGGGCCGAGGCTTGTAAAACTTCGGTGTTACCGATGGGTCAATGTCCAGACTGACGGTTTGCGTGCAGGCGCCTCCGTCGTCTTGGAACAGCGCACTGTGTTGCTGCTGCAGGTCGGTCAGCGGCGATGCCATGCTGAAGATGCTTTCCCATGGTAGCCGCAGCTGTGCAGCCAGTCCCGGCCGAGGAGTGGGGCCCGTCGCCGTGGACCACGAGCAGGGTCAGCGTGGACTGCTGCGCGCCACACTTCACGCGCGCTGTCAGTCGGCCGCGCACCAGCGCCGCATCTCCCGTGTATGTGGTCAGTGACCCCTGGCCCGACTCCAGCGGAACACTCTCCAGCTCCGTCCGCCAGATGACCTCGCTGATGATCGTCAGACTTGCCCCTGTGTCGACTTCAAACACCAGCGGCTTCCCGTTAACCTCCACTGTCGTCTTGCACGGAGGAACACGGTTCGGAGACATTGTGCTGCTCACAGGTAACATGCCATTTTCTCCATCCGATCCCGCGCTGTCCGCCAGTACGGCATGCACCGCTCTGCACGCATTCCGAAGGTGTCCTACTTTTCCGCACCCATAGCAGGTAGCCCGTCCGTGTGGACATCCCGGCGCTAGGTGACCGCGGCGACCACAGCGTACGCATGCTGCTCCACCCGCTAATCTGCCTGGCAGGCTGCCAAAACTCGCCGACCCAGCCGCCGCCGGCCGGAATGGGCGGGGTCGTCGCCTCAGTCCTCCCGGCGACGGCGGTGCCGGGCCGACTGCGTGCAGCGGCTCCGGACCGGGACTGGCCGCTGCTGGAGCCGTCAGCGGGACTGCCTGTGGAGCGACACTGATCTCCTGCACATCAGCAGCTGCTGTCTCTATCGCGGTCGCTATTTTTACGGCGGATTCCAGAGACAGGCTGTCTCCCTCCTGCAGCATCGCCCCGTTGCTTAGTCCGCACACAGATCTGTCCCGAAGCTACTCCTCCAGGCGATCACCGTACGAACAGTCCCTTGCCATCCGCCGCAGTTCCGCCAAAAACACTGACACTGTCTGTCCAGCCTGCTGCACTGTCCGGTTAAACTTATACCGCGACACGATCACTGTCGGCTTCGGGGCAAAATGCAACTGGGCTGCCTCCGCCAGCCCCTTGTACGTTTCCGAGGCGAATAGCTGCGGAGCACAGATACTTCGCAGAACCGAGTACACGCGTGACCCACAGACGCTCAGAAATACTGCCCGTTTCCTCGGCGCAGACGTGATGGCGTTAGCAGCCAGAAACTGTTCAAACCGCTCCAGATACTCTCCAAAGTCCGAGTCACTGTCACTGTAATCACCGATATTCCCAATCAGTGATAAAGCCATTGTGTGGCCGCCACTTCAAAAAAAATAGCTGCTAAAAAAACTGCAAAAGTTCGCTATCCCATCCTCGTCGCCAGCTGATCTATCCGTGGATGATCAATGAAACAATTCACTCGTCGCACCACTCCCGTGCGGCTCCGTATTCCAGACTCCCGAACAACCCACAGATCCGAGCTGAGTATTCGACCCCGCTTGTAATCAAGCACTCCGCCGCGTAAGTGGCGATACCTCTTGGTCGCGACTGCTAACAGTCAACTTATATACGCGTCAGGCCGCATGGCTAATGAAACGACAAGATTCGAATACCACCATTATGGTGTCATGGAAGCCCGGGTGATCTTGAAACAGTCCCCCCGAAATAGTATGCGCATTTTCGCGGGTGGCAGCTTGGAAGCCAGATGGGCTCAGGTCTTGCAACGGGTAGGGCTCCGAACTGCACCGAACGCTCTTCAAGACAGCTATTTCAGTTCAAAACTCCCAACAAATGTGGAACACTCCCCTTAACGTCGTCCTTGTCTACGATTTGCATAGCGCGGGCGGTATCGTGTCCGTCTGGGAGCAGCATCACAGTGAGCTCCAGGTCGCAGCTTCGCCCTGCTCTTAGTCCACACGGTACATCCTCGCGACAATCTCGCTGGATTGCTGATCGGCACTGTTTATTTAGTTTTTAGGCCACATTGCATGCCGTTTTCTTATCAGCATATAATGTACGATGCATTAGCATAGATCCAATATTGAGACAATGAGAGTTGCGCGAAAGGCGTGCCCAGCTACTCACACATGCATAGTTTATTTGCACAAGAAAAACATTGCATGAGGTAATCCCTGCTTCTCTTGAGTCTCTTGCTCGGGCACCTGGCCATGATTTCATCCGCACTAGGCATATATTGACGTCGACCTGTGCACGGCTTGCGAATACACCAAAGACTGAGCATCCGCGCCTCCGCCCCCCCCCCCCCCCCCCCCCCAGCGACAACACGCATGGTAAGCATATAAAGCGCTTGATAAATTACGCCGAACAATGCAATTCTCTGCATATTGTCCCCCTCCCCCCCCCCCCCCCCACGTGGAGCAGAGTACTGCGCGAGCCACGTTTTTCAAGTGTTACATACGGTGGCAAACATCCAAAGACAACTCCACCGCATGCCGTGCAAGGTGCCGGGAACGCCTCCTGACAGCCACAAACATTGCCAAGGAAGGTCAGGCACAGGCGTGCACACACATACACACACACACGCACCCACGCACACACGCTTCCAAGACCTAGCAGCACACACACACAGTTCTGAAAATTTACCCTGATTTAAACCCGACGTCGAGTACATCTTCCCAGAGGCACGCGCAGCGCTGCAAACGACTGCCGCGAGTCACTCGCGGTCACGCGGAACGAACCGCACCTCGACCGGGCCATTGCTCTGAAGCGTGAGGCAGACGTTCATCATGCTCTCGTCGTACTGGCGGCGCGACTCGACGCGAAACTCCCTGAGCACGGCCGAGATGACGGCCTTCTCCTCCATGAGCGCAAACCTCTGGCCGATGCAGTTGCGCGGCCCGGCCGAGAAGGGCAGGTAGCTGTAGGGGTGCCGGCCGGCGGAGCGCTCCGGCTGGAAACGCTCCGGCTCGAACCGGTCCGGGTCGGCCCAGTGGCGCGGGTCACGGTGGATCATGTGCGGGAAGAAGAGCACGTCCGTGCCCGCCGGCACGTCGTAGCCCAGGATCTGAGCCGCCTCGGGCAGCGTTCGGGAGTAGGTGGTCACGGGAGGGCAGACGCGCATCGATTCCTTGATGGTCCATTCCAGATACTTCATCTGGGCCAGGTCGTCTCTAGTCGGCGGCGTGTCACGCCCGGCCATGACCTCGTCCAGCTCATCGTGGATCTTACGCTGCACCTCCGGCATCCTGCCGATGTTAAACAGCGCCCAAGTGATTCCTGACGATGTTGTATCATGGCCTTCGAACATGAATGTGTCCACCTCCTCGCGGATTTCTTCATCAGTCAAAAGAGCTCCATTCTTTGCGCTGGACAGCAGCAGGTCCAGGAACGCCAAGCGCTTCCTGCTTGGTGTTTCACTGGGCGTGTTCATGCCCTCTTTTAGTAGCATCTTCCTCTCCCTAATCACCGACTGCGTAAATGAGTGCAAAAAGTTGAGCGCCTTGTCCTGGGTATGCTTCCAACCTAGGAGCCAGAATATGGAATCGTTCCTTAGCCAAGGCCTGAGGGATTTCATGTGAATGATGTTTCCCATAGTCTGCAGGGCGGCCTTGTACTCGGAAGCAGATCCCGACTGGAAGCTGAGGTTCACGCCCATTGCCGTCTCACAAATAACGTCTAGCGTGGCGTCCGAGATAAACGGCCAGACGTTGATGAAACCGGTGCCGGCTGCTCGCAGTCGCCGCACGAGCGCGCCGCTGCACTCATTCATCACCTCCAGGTACGGCTCCAGGACGGCGAAGTGGAAGGCGGGCGTGATGAGCTTGCGATGCGTGTGCCACTTGTCACCGGTGCTGGTGAGCAGACCAAGGCCCAGCCAGGGTCGCACCGGACCGTAGTCGATGCCCTTGTCCAGAAAGCGCTTGCTGCCCAGGACCGGCTCCGCAGCCTCGGCTGAAGACACGACCACGTAGTGGATTGAGCCGAGACTGGTATGCATGACGCCCGGGAAACGCTCGCAAAGACGTCGCATCACCGGCACGATCTCGCGCGTGTTCCGCGGCATGTCCGGCAGGTTGCCGAGCAGCGGGTATGCCGGCGGGCCGGGGATCTTTCGCAGGATCCTCGTCCGCTGAGATCGGTCGCCCAACAGCACGGCGATGGCCACCAAGAAGATCAGCACGGGAATGTACGGCGAGCACGCTTCGATCAGGTGGGAGAGAATGAGCGCCATGGTAGCAGCGGTCTCGAGGCTCTTCCGCACTCGGCACCGGCGTGGTCTCACTGTGCACCGTTGTTACAGGCGGCAGAAGGCGGGGGCACCGCGCGGACCGCCCCTTCTCCGCCTCAGTTCTCCACCGACTGAAGGCCACGTCATCCTGACGATGCGCGCAGCGGCAGCGCCCTCTGTAAATAAACAGCTCGGTGCCGCCCGGACACCAAGCGGCGGCTGCCAGGATTTGCGGCGGGTTGGCGCTACTTGGATGTCTAACGGAGGGCTGTGTTACTTTATTTGGAAACAAAGCCCAGCCCAAGTCAGAGTAACTACGCACTGCGCACAGACTGCAGGAACCTTAAACTGATGTGCGGTGCCCTACGCATCAATGCAGCATGAAAGTACTATGAAACATCATCAGCTTAGTTACCCTGGCTCTGAAAGCTGTCACTGACATCTATTCGGCTATTCGCTCACCTTGTCACTTGCCTACCGCTGTTGGGCGCGACGTAAGGTAGGAATTGCCATTTCAGCTCGCGAAACTGGAGCCCCCACCACCCAGCTTTGAGGATGAAGTTGGCGTAAAGCGGAGAAGAGCCCTGTTTTTGTTGCATTTTTGGAGACAAGTTCAGTCATTTTTTCGTATTCAGCCACCAACCTATTTTTCGAAAATACATCCCTGGTGTGTCATGTCACTGTCCATGATCGCCAATGAGATCTGAACAAAAAATATTGTTGTTGATCGAGCACCGTATTACAAACTAATGTTAAATTCCGTCGTGGTGAACAAACTTCCTCAATTCAGACGACGGGATGAGGAGGCCTGATGAATGCTCACCTCCAGCCCTTTGCTGCATCCCGGTAAGGAAACACACTCGATCCTTTGCAAATACTAAGAAGACCCCTAATAAGACCCTTACCACGAAAAGCGAATATGAATCACTGTAATGCGTGTAGGTAGCAAGAAATTCTGTACGAAAAACTCGCATTTACAAAGCTTTACAGGTGCGAAGAATTACGTGCATCTTGTTTTACGGATACAGGGAATTGCGTCACGAGGATTTCTCCTGGCACGGTTTTGCGCGCTTGTGGAGAGTTGCGTCTGTGATGATTTAGGTACGAAATAATGCGAATCAAATTCGTGCGGTACGAAATTTTGCGCACGAAGAAATGCGATGTGAAGTCTTGTCTTGGAACCATTAACCAAAGCTGCCAGCATTGGTGTATATACTGCCAAGCTAGGAAATGTGTTCCACTGTGTTGGTCAGCGATCTGTCTAAGAAAAAATACGAAGCGATGGTTCACTTCGGCATGTAAACAGCTATGAAACATTTCAGAAGGAATTGCTTTGCACATCACGATGGTTAGTAGGATGTGCTCAACCCAATTGTGATGCACAACATTCTGGACATAGCCATTGGGGATGTGTTCCCACATGCTTACAAAATGGCATTCCCTCAATTTTTTCACGTAGAACGCACAAACTGTGGCGTCCCTTCCATGGTCGGATAGGAGGTGACAGGCTCCCCTATTTTAACAAATTTGTGGGAAGAGAAAATGCGTTCTTCCCTCAGATTTTTATCACGCGGCCAACATTCCCAATTTTTGCCCTGATTAAGGCATCTGACATCGGGAGGGTCAGGCTGCTTCAACTTGTATTGCGATAATACTAGGGCACTTAAAGACCGCTTGGCGATATTTCTCTGCACTGGCCGAGCACGTTCAATGTCTTCCGTGCCTTGAGTTTAAAGCTGGGTTAGGAGGTGTTCAAACATGATGTGCCTGCAATTTATGGACGCTCGAAATTTCCGAAGTGTCAAGTGAGGACCTTTTTATCGTCGAGGTCGGTCTGAGGTCAGCTCAGACGGGCTCGGAAGGACTGACAGCATTTAACATTCTCGTTAAGGTTTACAGGACTCAAGATAAAAAGAAAAACGAGGGAGTGGAGCGGCGCAAAATCTTTAGCAGCGAGGTCAATATAAGATCAAATTTCGAAAAGCTGAACTCTCATGCTTGTTTGGGTATGGAAGATGTGAGCGTCGCAGAAGCATCCCGTTTTGTGTAAATATGTGCATTTACTGGCTTGGTTTAATCTGTACAAATTCTGTGGTTTCATAACTTGAAGCGGAATGGCTTTCAGTGACTATTCCGCCGATGGCTGGCCGACCTGGCAGGGAACAACGCTAAAACATTGCCGTTGAGTGAATGGGCCCGTGTTTTCGGTATCATTGCCAATTCAAGACATTCTGTCAACGGGGCAACTAAATATCCCCAGTTTGCTCTTCACAATGCGAAGAGATCACGCGGGAACACATTCTTCAAGTCGCCAAGCATGATTGTATTCTCATGCGTTGCCTGCCAGTTCAGCCACGGTTGAATGCAGATTCAGCGCGCGACGGCGACTGAAAACTTGCTTTGCTTACAAGTGACGCCAGCGGTGTCATTTTTTTGTAACTTATTGGGGGAGGGGCAAATCGAAGGCCCGACAACCGATCTCCCCGTTTTTCTCATTGGACTTGCCCACTCTGTCTTGATTAAGCGCAATTTATGTTTTTAATCCTTGCATAACTTAAAAAGTCTTAAATTTAAGCAGTATGACAGTAATACAGGGTTCGATCCAGGGAGTAGGCACGGGACGCACGCGTGTCTTTTGATCGGCTCTTCTATCGCGGTCATAGAAGGCGACATGCATTTTGGTCGTGGGGAAAGGGGAGGAGGTTAGCCATGAAGGACGAGGTTAGCCGTCATCCCCATATTCCAGGGCTTTTCACTTTAACCTCACAAACCATTGCGTGTCTTATGGCGTCAGGTATGTGAAGTCTATTGCATCGTTTATGCGCTCAGCTGTTACGATTTGCATCTGGTGATGAGAACGGCCATGACTTTTGTTATAAGAGTGATACGAGATGTTACTATGCAGAAAGATCAAAGAAGTTAGTTTTTGTGTTATGATTACCTTTTACCCACGGTTTTGTAGTATTCCAGCCAAAAAATTAGGGGTCCAAGCCAATATTGGAGGGGGGGGGGGGCAGGGTCCTCACAAACGAAAACAAATCGACGCCCGTGAGTGGCGCAGAGGATCAACGCAACAGCAGTGTGTCACGTGCATCGCCTTCGCCTGGATCGAGTGGATCCAGCTCATACCGCGGTCCCTTTTGCCAGTCTAAACGTCCGAGAACAATGGGCTGCGCCTAGGGCCGCACCATAAGCGGTGTTGGAGCAGACCTGGAAGGAGCATTTGAACTCTGTGATCCTCAAGCAGCGTGTTGTTGGCATGCTCTTGTTATCGCCGTAATGCATAGTCAGATTTACTCTGTTGTTATTTTTCCATTCGCAAAGACAAAACTTTTCGAATCGGACGTTCAAGCTGTAGCGTGTAGAGTAGCTGCGTGGTAAAGATGCATGGTACATCACCCTGTGAAGCTTTTGCCATTGCACATACGCATATTGCTGACGTGTCGTAAGGCCAATTGGTCTGTATGGTAAAAGGCACTGAGCTGAGAAAGTGCGAGGCTGCGATAATATTTTTCCGCCGGCATGTGGCAACGGAGTTCCTACACGATGGGGCGAAAGGAGATGATAGCTGTTTGGGTGATATCTTTCCGGCCAACGCCCGCAGAGCCAATGCTAAATTGTTAGGAAGCTGTGGGTCTGAGCCCCTGTTTCCATCCTCGGTTCCCGTGCCTCCATACCTCACGGTGGTGCAGCGTGATGCCATGAGAAATTTCGATGACAATTACCATTTACGAGAACGCCAGCTATCAAACGTATTGTCTCTTGCCCATTCACATGCCGTGATATTTTTACGTTCCCGTCCCCCCTATGAAGGTTGATGCGACCGGCGCCATGATTTTGATCTGCTGCCCATCGATCGTTCACAGACATGAGTCATACAAGTTTCATACATAAATCAGATATGGAGGCTTGCCCTTGGATGCGCTCACAAGACTAGAAGGGGGCAGTGGTTCTGCCGGAGCTCCGATTTCTGGGTTTCGTGAATTTTTACAGCAATGCCACACAAAACCGTCTCCCGACGTTGCCGTCGTCGAAAGGTGTACGCCGCTGCATTTCAATCGCGTTGCTAGGCAACCGACGAGCGACGTTTGCCTCAGCGTCACTGGCGCACGCCGCAACAGCTGGAGGTGCTGCGAAGTGCGGTTGCGCGCAAAATGCGGAAATTCAGAGATGGCATCAACATCTGCTTGATACTTAACCGTGGGCAAAAACTGATTAAAAACATTGATGGATGCAATTAAATTTATGTTCGGGCGCTGTCCCTTTCGTACTTAAAGAGTGGTATGGCAACGCCTGAGTGTTTTGATTGTGGATAAACAGGCCAGTCACTTCGATAAAGGTGAGCCCATGGTACTTAGAGATGCGAACTGCTGGCAGACACCTGCGCTGCTGTTGCATGGCAGAGAGGACTAAGCGTGTTCTTTGATTGCATTTAGCGTTGCGAATGACTTGTGACCAGCTGCTTCAATAAGTAATGTTGGTGGCGTACAAAGTCGTAAAAAATGGTGCAGTTTCAGGTTATTAGCATTCACATATTCCGAGACTGACGGCGATGGCATTAGTACATCATTCCGATGCCTGTTAAAAAGTCAAGGTTTGTAGGTTTGGATGTACCCACCTACCTACGCGTGGCAAACAGGTCGAGGTGTATTGAGGTCTCACAAAAAAAAAGAAGGAAAACTTCATAGCAAAAACTGTGGACGCATTTTCCACACTAATGTGACGGTAATACCACTTAACATTTCGTTCAGCAAGCACCGCCGGCAATACTTCTAAGTACGAATCAATGTTTCAGGTGCACCGACGTCATTTAAATTCAACCACGAACGCTCATAGATGCCTAGAAGGTAATAATGTCGGTTTTCCGCGAGAGTAGCTGTGTTGTCGTTTCAGTACCAATTCGTCCGCCATGATGAACCGAAAAAAGCGTGAAGATCTGGAGGAAAATGAACTGGAGGGGATCACCGAGGCGGAGCTGGCGCGGCTCCAGCGCCAGTACCGCATCATGGACAACGACAGGAAGGCATACTACAAGGAGACGCAGACTGTTCTCCGCAAACAAAGGTCACCCAATACTTTTGTGCTTCTCACCTGATCATTGTGGCGAGAGGCGTATCTGCCAACTTTGATCATTGCAGTTGATGAGGATTTACTGGCGATTACCGGCAATTCAGGCCATTACTAGGACTCTGGTTTAGCAGGCAGGTGGAAAAGGGAAGATGACAGCGTTGTAGCTCTCAGCTCAATTCCACGTAGTCCACTGACGTGGATTGCATGTACCATATTTACATGCAGACTATAATGTTGGTAAGTCGTTACCCACGAGTATATGAAGATATGTAAGGTTTACACCAGGCTTTTGTCATGTGCACTGCGGAGGGATAGCTTAGTTACCAAAGACATAAACATAAGTTATGTTATGTTTTCATTATGTCTGTCTTTAATCTGTTTACACAACGTTCGCTCCACCCGACGGCGGAATAGGGCGAGAGTCCACGTTCTTCGGTGTTTTTAGGCACGCTCGATATTCGTGCATCTAACGTACAAACGTTTTAAATAGTTAGGTTTACGGTTTTAAGCGCCTTAATGGCTTAAAGACCAGTTTAATCGGTTTTAAATGATATTATGTCATATATCTAAAGGTAGCTCCCCACGGGCTTCGAAGTACATTTTCCGTGCATACGCTGGCAAATGCACGCCATACATGGACCAAAGTGTGGAATACATGCCTTCGCGAGACTGATCTGACTCGCTTGACCATCATGCAGGCGAATTATCGACAACTTAATGGCGGAGAAGACTGAGATCGACACAGATATGAGCCTGATCAAGTCCAATTACAACGTACGAAAAAATAAAGCCGCTTCCAAGAAACTTAATGGCTACGTCGAACGACAAAAGGAAATTCTCGATGAGATTGAATCGGAGAGGCAGCAAGTAAGACACGTTTAACTAATTTGCACTTTAACACTGAGCAGATATGGATGGTATGATCTATGTAATTTAGTTTAATGTGGCTCAGATGTTTTCTAAGAAGTGTTTAGACAGAACATGGTTACTAAGATCTTCGCCACGTCATCAGTGTATTAAGGTTTCAGTCAGTCGTTTCTGGATGTGTTTAGCACTGCACGTGTACTGTTGGCTGACGCCATGTATCTCGTCTTATTGCACAGCTGTTTAGTCCTTGATTGGTGTAGCATGCAGCTCACAATTGAACTGAGAACACGAGGTACATTACAATCCCGCGCTTCTCCCGCCGGTTTAACGCGTTTTCCCTTTGGAATTCATTTTGGATTGTTTTGCAAAGATGCGTTTAGGCTCAGGCACTTTCCAATTAGAGCGTGTTGCGTGCGCGCGGAACCCATTTTCCACACTGCCGCTCCGTTCACAAAATGATTTTGCTTCCGGACTTTTCGTGAGATAGGGCGGTGCCGGATGACGTGTGCCGTTGGTGACTTGTTACGATGCGGTCGTCTGTGGCCAGGCGGATGGTTGGCCAGTTGCAAACCTATCTATATCTCTATCTCTATCTCTTTCGAGTACTTGCCTTAGCGCCTTTTCACTCCGGTGTTCATGCACCCGTTATCACGCCAGTGCCCAGCGCCCCTGCCGAAGCCCACTATCGTAACGCTTACCACGTAAGCATGAGGCGGCGGTTTGGCTATCTTGGAGAAGTTAGTCGGGTGCGGTGGGAGGCTAGACGCCGACCGCCTCGGTTTGAATGACGCCTTCATGTGTGATGTCGCACCAGTCGGTGACCGGTTGGACGTGACTGGCCGCTTTCAGCTGGCCGACATCGACAGTCGGATCAAGCGTGTGGAGCGGGAGATACCCAAGCAGGCCAAGCGAGGCGGCGCCAACGATGTGGTGCGCAACAAACAGTTTCAGCTGCAGCGGAAGGCGAGGCGCCTGGAGAACCGCCTGTACACGGTACGGTATTGGCGGAGGCTCTGGTGGCAGGCGCTGAGTCGGGACGAGCGCCGGACGCCATGTTATCTCGGCTGAGGGTGTGTTCAGCGATAGGGTAGGCCGCAGATATGGCCGCATCCGAAGGTGACGCGCGTTGCCGTGCGGCGGAGATGCGGCGCCGGAGATGCAGTGCCGGGGAGGATGTTCGCCGGCAGCGCCGCTGGTGGCCGCTGGTAGCGTGCGGCGGGGATGCGGCGCTGGAGATGCGGTGCCGGGGAGGATGTTCGCCGGCAGCGCCGCTGGTGACCGGTGGTAGCGTGCGGCGTTACATGCCGAAAAATATGTGGCTAGACTTCGTTGAGAGATCAAACCATAATAAGTATGATTCATATGTATTAAGAAGACGGCGAACAGAACGAGCAGATTCAGCCCGCATCCGGCCGGAGGGAAGATAGTTGACTTCCTCCCTGGGATGTCGAACTTCCAGACGCCGTATGAGAAAAAAATGACGTGTTGATGGCCCCGTCAAATCACAAAGAGTGGATACAAAATATTGGGCCTTGTGAGGCCAGGTCAAGTGTGAGGTCACCAGAGGTCACGAAAGGTAAAAAAGTTCGTCTCGATAAATGCAGTTGAAAGCTATGTTCACACGTCAAAACGGTATTTAGGGTATTAAAATAAGCGTTTAGACTGGGTAGTACATTCCGACAATTTCTGTTCCCCCACATGGGTCAGGTCAGATCAGGTCGCCGTTCAAAATTGGTCCACCAGTAGACTTTAAGAACAATGTTTTTTTCGCAACGTGCACCGGATTAAGACTTTTTTATGTGGTGCAGCTGCGGGACAAAAGTATTCAGGACGTATAAATACCATCTTAAGCTCACCCAGAGGTCATCTGAAGTCAACATAGGTCAAATATATGCGTCATCCCAATAAAAAAAATTGAAGTGCTAACCGGGTCTATGTGACCAGCATAATGCTTTTCTGTAGTCAGAAATGACGTGTTATACACCTACAGGTACTCGATCGCATAGCTGTTGACTACATTGTACATGTTCCCTTCATTGCTTGGCAATGTATTTGTAACAAACTGAGAACAGGTTCGGTGGTGCATTGAATTTTACACCATCACCTTCAGAAACACGCGTCGCACTCGTTCATCTGGCCTCTCTTCTAATGGTAACGTAGGTCATTGACCTTTGAATACCTCATTATCTTGCATGTCCCCACGTGACCTATTGTGGCCTCTAACAGTTACCTACTAAAACTGTCTATTTTGAGCTCAGAACACGTTTTGCAGAAGGTGCGCAGAGGGGTAGGTCATGTCCTGGGCCAAGGTCATGTGATCTGCTGTCCATGTGATTCCTGTAAGGTAAGAGAGTACCCATAGTTTTCCTTATACACAAACTAAAAAACTGTACACAAATACGTACGAATTTGCATTGTTTACGACAAAATAACAAACATTTACCTGACTTTAGGCCACTGACCACGCTTCTTTCGATAAATGTAAAACATACTACTGTAGGTACCATCGTGTTCTATTACTCAAGCAAGTCTGAACAGTGGCAAAAGACCCACAGCAAAGATGCGGGTGGTCAAAACATTTGTAGAGGCTGGTCTCTTTGGTCTGACTGAGGTTGAATCACGGTAGATCAAAAGTCTGAATTCGCACGAAGGATGCAAAATCGATGGATAAATAGGTGCTGAAGATCGTATGCTTCTTCGCGTGTTAGTTTTTTTTAACCTGTGCTTGATAAACCGTGCAGGGGAATTCACCTCTCCCCCCCCCCCCCCCCAGCTGCTGGTCGCGGGTTCACAGGTGTGTCAAAGCGTAAACACTGATTAAAAAAGACGGCCGTCATGGCGGAGGAAGACATCGCAGCTATTGCCACCGGCGGACCGGTCACGGGAAAGTAGATGAATCCTCAGGCAGCCTCCATGCCACTGAAAGTGGTGTGAAAGGCTCGGGCGGGTGAACTGCACTACAGTTTACTTGGGCACCCGGACACTGGACCTGTTGGTAACACCGCAGCTATGATGTGCACATTTCGCGAGCCAAACGAGGCTCAGGTTATGTCAGGTCACCATAATGGGCCGGGTCATTTAAATAACTGTTATTTCTCTGAAAATGATGCTCAACGTGAATGCTTTCTATTAAGTATATTAAGTAAAGCCTTATGTTACGCTTGCTGTCACCGATTTCTTGAGTTCCATCCGCGTGAGAAAACACTGCTGTCACAGGTTGTACCTTGTTTCTGTCGCGTTTCAGACGAACGTGAACTTCAACACCATGCTGGTGGAGAACAACAGGCTGCGCGCCGAGATAGACCATCTGCTGATCGAGCGTGGCACCTTCAACAAGCACTACCGCAAGCTGATCGAGCGTCTGGCAGCCACCAAGCAGAAGACGTCCGACATCATCGACCAGGCCACGCAGGCTTACGACCAGCGGTAGGGGCGCCGGCTCGCTGGTCCCATGGGGTGCCGGCTCGCTGGTCCCATTGGGGCGGCAGCTCGCTGGCTCCATGGGGTACCAGCTCACTGGTCCCATGGGGTGCCGACTCGCTGGTCCCATGGGGCGCCGGCTCGCTGGTCCCATGGGTGCCGGCTCACTGGTCCCATGGGCGCCGGCTCGCTGGCTCCACGGGTACCGGGCTCACTGGTCCCATGGAGTGCCGCGCCGTGGCTCAGACATGGATAAGTGCGCAAACGGCAGGCTCGGCGTTTGTCGTTTTTGGCCGACATCTCTGCGGCCGTTGCGCAGGCTTGCGGCGACAGTAGTCGGGTGGAGTCTAGGTGCATTGACGATGTAGGTAGGCATGAGTGCGTGTGACGATGACGCAATAAGACATAACGTACACGTCACTGCAGCCAGTTCAATCGCGTCCACTCACGACAGTGAAGAGCGTGCTTGGTACAGACGTGCTATTAGGAGTTTGAGAATGCCACTAGACGCATAGTGTAGTCACATAGTGCAGCATCCAGAAATTCCTGCTATCCGCTGACTTCATTGGACTCCCGCTCCATATTCTCCTCCGTTTTCCACAGAGAGGCTAACTCGAAAACACGGCGCTGCGAGACCGCAACGCGAAGGAGTCGGTGGCTCACATGACGGAGCTGAAGGACCTGCTGCGCACTCTCGACCACCACGACCATAAGCTGAAGGAGTTCATGTCGACCAAGGCTCACGAAAGGCAGATAGAAGAGGACGAGGAAAAATAAAGAAAAAAGGTATAAATGTTGTCATGACTGGGCACAACTAGGGGAGGAGAGAGAGAGAGAGAGAGAGAGAGAGAGAGAGAGAGAGAGAGAGATGAGA